GCACCGAAAGAAGAGTTCTTACAAGTTCTCAAAGATAACCAGACTTTGATTCTTGTCGGTGAAACTGGTAGTGGCAAAACCACTCAGGTTGTTTTGTCCAACTTATTTATATTTATAGATTGGTTATTTGTAGTATCATAATGTCTTGTAGCGTGTATTAGGGCATTTTTTTTTTTTATCTTGAGACAAATGTTAGGACGAAAAATGTGTTGTCTAGGTTTTACTATGTGTGCATGTCGCTAATTAATGAAAGGTTTATTTTTTATGTTTTGGGGTCGCAGATTCCTCAGTTTGTTTTGGATGCTGTCGAGTTAGAGACACCAGACAAACGTAGGAAGATGATGATTGCGTGCACTCAGCCTCGGAGAGTGGCTGCGATGTCTGTTTCGCGTCGTGTGGCTGAAGAGATGGATGTAACCATAGGGGAAGAGGTTGGTTACAGTATCAGATTTGAAGACTGCAGTAGTGCGAGGACAGTTTTGAAGTATGTTTAGCTTGCTATTATATTGTTTTCTATTATTAACAAGTCCCCGTTGGTCTGTGTGTCTTAAAAACATATTAGGCTCTTAAAAGATAATCATGCCTTAAGAGTCTGTTTGGTTCGACTCGGAGGACGGGAGGGATTTTAATTAGATATTATGTTTGATAGAGAGGAGGGAGAGGAAGCATTTTAATGTGGGGAGGGGGTGGGGGGTTGAGAATAGCTCTGTTTTTGTTTGGTTCACAAGGGAGTGGGGAGGGATTTTAAAAATGAATTTACTTTCATACGTTATAATTTTGATGCTGATAATGTAAATAGATTCTCTTTTCAGTACAATTGTCATGTTTAAATAACGCACCCTTCCCTCCAAATCCCCCAATATTGATAAATTTAACCAAACATAAAAAACTTAAAACCATCCCCTTCATTTTCCTCCAATCAAAACTATATAAAGGATTAATCATTGGCTCTTGTTGTATACTACGGCATATTTATTAGTTCTAAGTTTGATATGCTGTCTATACTTTCGTTTTCTTTCTGCATTGTTTCATTCCCCAATCTCACAAGTGGATTTCACAGGTATCTAACGATGGTATGCTCTTAAGGGAAGCAATGACAGATCCGCTGTTGGAACGGTACAAGGTTATTATTCTTGATGAGGCTCACGAGAGGACATTGGCCACTGATGTGTTATTTGGCCTTCTGAAAGAAGTGCTTAAAAATAGACCTGACTTGAAGTTGGTGGTTATGAGTGCTACTCTTGAAGCTGAAAAGTTTCAGGGCTATTTTTTTGGTGCCCCTCTCATGAAAGTTCCTGGAAGGCTACATCCTGTTGAAATTTTCTACACACAGGAACCTGAAAGGGATTTGGAGGCTGGCATTAGGACAGTGGTACAAATACACATGTGTGACCACCTGGAGATATTTGTTTTTCTGACTGGAGAGGAAGAGATAGAAGATGCTTGCCGCAAAATAACAAAAGAAATTTCTAATCTGGGAGATCAGGTGGGCCCGGTGAAAGTGGTGCCCCTGTATTCTACCCTTCCTCCAGCTATGCAGCAGAAGATTTTTGAGGCACCGCCACCTCCATTGAAGGAGGGTGGAATTCCTGGAAGGAAGATTGTGGTCTCAACAAACATAGCAGAAACTTCGTTGACAATTGATGGTATTGTTTATGTCATTGACCCTGGCTTTGCTAAGCAGAAGGTTTATAATCCACGAGTTCGTGTGGAGTCTTTATTAGTATCACCAATATCAAAAGCTAGTGCACATCAGAGGTCTGGGCGTGCCGGAAGAACTCAACCAGGGAAATGCTTTAGACTTTATACAGAGAGAAGTTTCAATAATGATCTTCAGCCACAGACCTATCCAGAAATTTTAAGATCAAATCTTGCCAATACAGTTCTTACTTTGAAGAAACTAGGCATAGATGATTTAGTGCATTTTGATTTCATGGACCCGCCTGCTCCTGAGACATTAATGCGTGCATTGGAAGTGTTGAATTACTTGGGTGCACTGGATGATGATGGTAACTTAACTAAGCTGGGTGAGATTATGAGTGAATTTCCCTTGGATCCACAGATGTCGAAGATGCTTGTTGTCAGTCCTGAATTCAACTGTTCAAATGAGATTCTGTCAATTTCTGCTGCGTGTCAGGTAATCTTCTTTTTTAATTACTTTTTAGTCTGTCCAGTATCCCCCATAATGTTAAGGAAATGTAGTTATGCGGGGGTCCATTTGAAATGGACTCCTGCTGTTGGGCTTGTGCAAGAGGAATCTTGTGAATATGTTGGGGGATGTTTGGACTGCTTACACGTGGCTTAGTGCACATGGATGTGGTCAGATGAGTGTGTCCTATTAGGTTGTCATCAGCAACTGTCTTCTCTGGGTTCCATGCCCCCGGTTGGCATGCACCATAGGATTCTAAGTAAGTGCTGATGCATTAGTTGCAGTTTCTCAGTATTCTCATGAAGCAAATGGTGTGGTGTCGCCTCTATGCATCTGCTGACCTACCGTGGACCTCCTCTGTGGTAATCAATTTCTTTCTTTAGTACCCAATTGCTTTGTCCGGCCTAGGGAGGCTCAAAAAGCTGCGGATGAAGCTAAAGCTAGGTTTGGGCACATTGATGGAGATCATCTCACGCTGTTGAATGTCTATCACGCATACAAGCAAAATAGTAAGTAGTTATTTTGGTAGCTCGTATTTTTATCAAGAACAGGTTGCATTGTAGATTTTTATATTAACTTTCTTAATTGTAAATGTTTTTTCAGATGAGGATCCCTCTTGGTGCTATGATAACTTTGTTAATCATAGGGCATTGAAATCAGCTGATAATGTTAGACAACAGTTAGTGCGTATCATGGCCCGGTTTAATCTGAAGCAATGCAGCACTGACTTTAATAGTCGCGACTATTATGTCAACATAAGAAAAGCTATGCTAGCTGGGTATTTCATGCAGGTAGCTCACTTGGAGCGTACAGGACACTACTTGACGGTGAAAGACAACCAGGTTTCTTAAGATGAACTGCTTTTTGTCTTGTATTTTGGTTTTATCATCATAGGAGCTAGACTGTCAGCTCTATTATTGTACTTCTATGATTTCTAATGTTTATGTTCTGATCGTAGGTGGTGCATTTGCATCCATCAAATTGCCTGGACCACAAGCCTGAATGGGTAATTTATAACGAATATGTTCTTACCAGTCGGAATTTTATTCGTACTGTTACAGACATACGAGGGGAATGGTAAGATTCTTTCTTTGTTTATGGATTGTTGATCCTTGTGCCATCATAGATGCAAACTCTTCAATGCTTGTTATGTTTAGTGTTGTTGAGTAAAATTCTGATGAAAATGGGAACTCGTGTTCAATTAAAATGGAAACTGCACGATGGAAACATTTAAATACAGTATTCAGTCAGATGCGATTTGTGACTGAAGTACATCATCAGAATTAGAGGGAGGGAGTTGGATTTGTATAGTATAATGTTTTTCTTAATATGATTTTGGGTTGTCAAGTCTTTTTCCTTGTCCTGACATGCAAATCTCATTTACACAGGTTGGTTGATGTAGCACCACATTACTATGATTTGTCTAATTTCCCCCAATGTGAGGCAAAGCGTGTTCTAGAGAAACTTTACAAGAAGCGAGAAAAGAGAAGGAGGAAAACCCGGAGTCGCAGATAAAAGTCGTAGTCATCCACAATATTTTTTTGCTTTTGGAATTTGGATTGGATATATCCTCTTCTGTCACTGAGACTTAGATCATGATTCCTCGTAGCACTTTTGCCATTTTTACTACCTTTTATTATTAATCTGAAAGGAATACTGATTGTCAGTAGTGTAGTTAAAAATGAGCTATAAGTTTATGTACCATTGCCAGAGTAATAGGGAACCTTTTTTAATCACCGTTCATCTTCTGTTGTACCTTAAGTAAAAATTTGTTTCTGGATTTTATTTCGTTAAAGGATAGATCCCATCATAAATGTCTGGATGCCGGAATTCATTATACTAAGCCGGGAGTGTTTTATTATCACTTTAATTTATTTTTTTGGCTATTCTTTATTACTATTGTATTGTTAACTCCTCTCGCTACTCTGTTTACAGCATATACAATGGATTCTTGTAAGCAACTACACAAGATTCTTAATTTCATTAAGCTCCATTGTGATACATCATTGATACTTTAAGTGACATGGACTAAAAGATCCGTATTGAGAGGTTTAAGGAAAATCTATCATATTGTCAAAACATATGTTAGGGTATAAAAAGTAAATTAAAACGTAGGTTGAGGTTTAAACGTATATATATTTTAAACTTACATTAGTCATGTTGTCAAGATTTGCATACCTAAAAATACGTCAATTATTAATCTTCGATGCAAAATGTACGAATCTCTAAAAAGCATTAGTATATTCGCATATACTATTACATTAATTCAAGTTTGTAATAGAACAACAGAACTACTTATTACATTGAAAACAAACTTGTTTACTCTTACAACACAGTTTAAGGGACAACCACTTTATGTTACACAACATTGAAGCCTATGAACATAAGAACACAAAATTAACACTAGAAAAAAATTGCCAAATCAGAAACCCCGTCATTCTCTTCAATCCAAGCAAGGTTGAGAGTCAGTTTGCAATCAGGCAGCCACTGGAAAGCAGCATCAGAACCATTCAGTTGGAACTTCTTTGGAGATTGAGTCGAGTAAGCAAGGAATCTCCCACCACCCTTAACCTTAACTTTAACATCCTTCTCAATATACTCCAATTCTTGAATTGTGCCTCCACTGTTGAACATGTTCGTTAGCCCAATGGGTGCAAATTTTATGTTGCTACTACCTAGCTTTTCAACTGGGACAAAGTTATAAAGTTCAAAAGTGGATGGTTGAATAGTTAATTGCAGTGGTTCAGACACGGGGGTCATCAAATGCAGTACCTCAGCCTGATTGAGGTACACAACATACTCCTCTGCCTTACCCATATGTTCTGCTTCTTTCTTTTGATCCCATTCAACCTCAGTTACATGAACAGTGCATGATATTGCTTTGTAACACTCTGGGAAACCCTTAAATTTCTTCCCCTTTGGGTCCCAACCAGCCCCTTGACAGTTGAAAGCACCAATAACTCCTCCATACTATTAAATGAACAAAATTGTTGTTAGAAATACCTTATTGTATGTAAAAAATGCACAATGACAGAAATACCTTATTGAAGTTCCAAATTTTGAGAACGGTTTTTTGGTCAAAGAGAGGGTTCCTGAAAAGGCAGTCTCTTGTTGGAAGGGGAAAATATATGCATTTGGGCACGGTACCATCAGGGAAGACAAGCTTCTTAATGAGATCAAAATCATGAGAGCCAACACTATCACTCACATAGACAGGACCACCACAAATAGCCCTTGAACCAGCATGAAATTTTGCACACTCATGATCCGATTGAAACATGTCCCAATCGGGTTGAATTATCTGTCCCATCCACAAGCTGTTGTAGGAACAGTGAATCATGTGCACCCCCTGTAACCAGAACACTCCCATTGGGTCCCCATTCGGATCTTGGAACCAAAAGTCATCCCCTGTAGCCAATTTTGTTTTCTTAAAATTCGTTTAATTTCATTTTCCTTGCATATCTTATGAATATAGCAATAAAATTCATCAAAAGTAAATAGAATAATGCTTACCAACTCTTCCAAAGGGAATTTGTTTGGTTCCAAGGAAGAAGAAATCGTTGCACTGTTGCATGCTAGCGATGATTCCACTTCCATTGAAATTCTTGATTATGGAGTTTGTCAACCCATCGTAATAAGCCTTGGCAATCTCCACTCTGCCTCCATATTCCTCGCATACGTATTCAAGACTCTGCATGTACAGTCAAAGTTAATGAGTAATTGATTAAAGAGTCATGCTAGAGAGTCAAAGTTAAAATAGACTAAAAATAGGAAAAATAAAGTAAAATAAAGCTCACGTGAATGACGTCAATTTTGACTCCAGTAACACCGGTTTGGGCAAGATAAGAGTGCATGGAATCGTAGAGATCATTAGCTTGATGAGGATGAACAAGCCCTATGGAACCTTCCACTATTTTATCCACTGCAAGATCCTTCATGGTCCCAACAAGACCAGGAGAGAGTTTGCATGGTATTATTTTCGAATCAAGATGTGTAGTTCCTGGCCTCACACCACCCCATCCGCCACAGAGCGCATGCCACACATAAACATCATCCAAACCTTTGAATTCAGTCCTCAAATCCGTTGTGAAGTCCTTCATCCCACCACACTCCACCGCTTTAGAACAACACCCTCCACTTTCGTCGCTCTCCTTTCCCTTCCCCCCAAAGAGATCATCAATTTCCTTTCTCACCTTCACAATCATCAACTCTATCTCGGCCAAATCCGAACCCCCAGCTGAAATAGCTGCAGCACGTTGCTTCCCCAAATGCTCAGCTTCAATCCCCTTCCAAATCAACTCCTTTATCGTCTCCGGGTTGAAAGAAGGAGCATTAGGACCCAAGAGAAGACCCTTTTGGTATTTTCTAAACTTGTCACCTTCCTCAAACCTATGAAGCCTCGCAGTCATTTGTTCCCCACCAAGAACAAGATTCTTAGCATCCTCGTTGGGGTCCTCATCATCAAAATTCACACTTTGCCAACCGTCATCGATGACAACAAACCTCGGAGCCACGCCACCCTCACTGAAATCCTTAAGCCCATGCCAAACACCAACGGGGTTCACGGTTAAGTAAAACGCATCCCAAGTGCACCACCCGAATTTGTCAACAATTCTTGGCACCGTTTTCTCCTCCAACAACCTAAACGAGTCAAGGTGAACCCTGAGAGCACTGTAGGCCTCTCTCATCAGGTTGTAAGGGTTTTCAGCCACGTGGACGTATGCAATTGCACCGAAACTCGATGCTCTCACTTGAGTAGAACCACTCTCCGCGCAAATCTTAACATGATCATCAGAGCCAGGGTGAAGCGCCGACCTGAAGCTTTTTTCTATTATGGGAATGATTACGACATAGGATTCTGTTTCGGGGACTTCTATGAGGATCCACTGAGTTTCCATTTGTAAGTCTGAACCGGAATTTCCGACCCACTGGGTCGACCACCATGTTTTGAACCTGAAGATGCTGAGGAAGTTTCTACCTCTGAGACTTCCCAAGGAGTTTATCAATCTGTCGGAGGGTGAAACATGGGAGAATCCGAGGAAGCCACCTTTGTGCGACGCGGCAGTGACACGTTGAAGGATGGAAGATGGGGCATCACGAGGTACACAGATTGAGGAGAAGGAACTGAAAGTGACGTTCTCGGGTACGTGAGAGAGTAATACCACACCTTTCACGGTGAGTTTCCCGTCAGATAAGTCGAAAACCTTTTCCGATGGCTCCAGTCCTAACGTGGCATTCACTGGATCGTTCGGAGGAGCCATGGAGAATAAACAACGAACAACAAGAACAAAGAAGAACAGAGGACAAAACGATTCAAAACTATAAAGACAAAGACAATAAACCTTACTTTGAGAATCAGAGAAGAAAACTAGCTAACTAGTGGGATATGTATACCAATTTGGTGACCATTACCACTATGAAAGGAATGAAAAAGTGAAATTATAAGCGATGGATGGGAGATTACAGACACTCATTCATTTTATCGGTTATATTTATGGTAGGACAGGGAAAAAATGGAAGAGTGGAGGGTTACGAAAAGAAGAGAAAGAGACTTAAAACTTTTAGATGAAGATATGAAGAACATGAGAGTAATTAAGGCAAGTTGATGAATGGAGTGTGTCTCAAATGGTTAGTATATAGAGTACAGTAAGCAACATTTGATTTGAATTGTGGCACCGAAAGAGGGAGTTCCAAAACTTGGATTGCATTAAGCAAAAACAGGTAGAGGCAGAGAATGGTAGCTGTAAGTGGGGTCGTTGGCAGTGGTGGAGTGTGACTTCAAACTTCTTGTCTAATCTCTTATCCCTTTTGTTTCCTTCTTCCAATGACTCATTTTTTCAACCGAATAACCTCTTTCATTCGTAAAACTATTTATCTTGGAAAATGTTTTTTTAACACAGAATTATTTAGTCCACCTGCATCTACTTCTTATTGTCGGGTTTGAAATATTATCGCGAGTTTATAAATTATATTATTCATGATATAAATAACACATTAATATCACATGTGAATCAGTTAATATATAGAGTAAATTTGTTGTAATGGGAGTTTTTCTATAAGAAAATTGAGTGAGAAGATTAGTTTTGGTAATAGAAGTTGTTAATTATGCAGTAGTGCAAACTATATGCGATAGTTTATATTTCTTAAAGTTAATTAGATATAGAAAGTGGTTCTTTGACCAATCAATATCTATTGTAGTTAGAATTGATACTGGTGACAGAAATATAATAAATAATAAATATTTATATGTTTATAATACTCAGACATGTATAAAAATCGTTTTTTTATATTGATTGTACCTACAATAGTTATAGAAGTAGCATAGTGACAGAAATGTAATATTGGAGAACTTTTTTATATATTGGTTAGATAGTTTTGTTATTTTGCCCTCAATTTACTTTTGCGCTTCACTTTCTCTCTAATGCTCTTCTTCACCTTGTCCTAAATTTTGTTTCACAGTTTTGCTTCTTTGCTTTCATTACCAACTATTACTTGAATTTATAAAAAAAGGGATAAACTAAAAAATGTTCTTACTATAGGAGAACATATCCATTTGGTCAATAACTTTTACTTCTCTATAGTTTTTATTGTTTTCTATTACTAATTTACTTGTATATCATTTTTTATTAAAAGATTATCATTAATATGTATTAAAAGATTATTATTAATATGCATTCATATTTTAATCAATTACAATTGTGCATTTAAGAAATAAAAGATTTTTGTAATCAATCAAGATTATTATGAGAAATGGAAATCGTTTACCCCTAACCATCACTCCAAATAGAAGTCATTTCATCTGGTATTACTTTAAACTAAAATTGGTAATATGTGCACCCCCCACATCTTCAACTTGAAAGTCATCTAGGTCCTTACGACTTCTTACGACTTCTTACGACTTCTGCTTTGACCAATTGATTTGGAGGAAATTGTCTGCAAAGAACGTGATTTCTTCGTACCATATCATGAGAACCCTGAACAACTTACCTATTTATGTAAGCTTTTTAAATTTGTCTAGTTTCATAATTTAGGTTTCAAATTTGCTTAAGTAAATTTGCCAAAAAGAACAATTATGGAATTTAATGAAATTATGCAACGTGTGGGACCAATAACCTATTTCGATAGGTGGCTCAGTTTCCCATTATGTAGTGGATCTTTATATATATATATAAAAGCAATATGATCTCTGGTAAATATAAAATCACACTGAGTTTATTTTTATGATCCAGATAGATCGATACAATATACATAACATTTTTGTCTAACATATCACAACATGATTTTATTTCTCTTGTACATAAATACTAAAACCTTAATATTGAAAACTATAAATAACTATCATTATTATATATATATATATATATATATATGAATAGTTATAGAACATCTATTTCTTCTTTCAATTACTAGAATTATAATACCAATACAACTCACTCTTATTGTAATATTTTTCTATTGAACCATTACTTATACTACCTCCTTGTTTAGCATCATTACTTATGTTACTTATTCTATCAACATTATTACTTTCACCAATGCTTCATTATCTCTTCCATCACTATTATGATACTTCCTCTACTTACTTCCACCGTCATCAACACCACCATTGCTGCTACTGCTTCCATTTGTATCAACATTTCTACCTCCACTTGTTCCATTACTTATGTTATCTCCTTCACTTGCACTAATGCTTTCACTTCCTCCAACAGCACCACCTACAGTACCACCTCCGCTAGCATCACCACCAACACCCACACCACTTCTTACATCAGTACCTATATTACCTCCTCCACCTACTCCAACATTTCCACCTCCTCCTGCACCATCACCTGTGTTGCCTCCTCCCCCAACATTACCGCTTCCACCTGCATCTCCACCAACACTACCTCCTGCACCACCACTTATGCCACCTCTTTCACCTGCACCAACATTTCCACCTCCAGTAGCACCACCACCTATGTTTCCTCTTTCACCTCCTCCAAAATCACCAACTACATTACCTCCTCCACTTGCACTACCACTAACACCTACACCACCTCCTCCACCTACACCGACATTTCCACCCCCTCTTGCACCACCACCTATGTTGCCCCCTCCCCTTACATTACCACTTCCACCTCCAATAACACCACCCCCGACACCGACACCTATGTTACCTCTTGCACCTGCACCAACATTTCCAGCTCCAGCGGCACCACCACCTATACTACCTCCTCCACCTACACCAACATTTCCACCTCCTGCTGCACCAGCACCAATGTTGCCTCCTCCCTCGACATTACCGCTTCCACCTCCAACAACACCACCACCTATGTTACCTCTTCCACCTGCAGCAACATTTCCACCTCGCCCAAAATACCACTTGTGTTACCTTCCTCCACTAGCCACCATCACACTTCCACCTCCTCCACACCACCCCCTACATTACCTCTTCCACTTGCACTACCACCCCACCTACACACCCCCTCCCCTACCCCAAAATTCCACTCCTCCTGCCCCCACCACCAATGTTTGCTTCCTCCCCCAACATTAACGCTTCCACCTCCAACAACCCCGCCCAACGTATGTTACATCTTCCACCTGCACCAAAATTTCCACATCCAGCGGCCCACACAACTGTGTTACACATCTCACCTAGCGGCAACACTTCACACCTCCTCCAACACCACCACCACATTACCTCCTCACTAGTACCACACCAACACCTAAGCCCAGCCCCCCATGCTACCTCTTCCCTACTCCGACATTTTCACCTCCTCCCGCACCACACCTATTTTGACTCTCCTCCACATTCCCGCTTCCACCTCCACCTCACAATACCACCACCTACACCACACCTATGCTACCTCCTCCACCTCCACTTGCACCAACCATTTCCACCTCCAACAACACCACCACCTATGATTATATTCCACCTATGCCAAAACTTCCACCTCCTCCAAACCACCACCTACATTACCTCCTCCACTTGCACTATCACCAACTCCTACACCATCACCTACATTTCCTCCTCCACCGGCACTTATGCTGCCTCCTTCACCAATTTTGGCTCCTCCCCCGCTGCCTATATTGCTTCCCGTGCCGGTTCTTGCACTTCCAAAACCTCCATCTGCTGCTCGACCATTTCCAACACCACCAAAATGTTGAACTTTTCGCCCATCGACTGTCCCAGTGATATTAAAACGAGTAAAATTATATGCTATAACTTTACGTGAAAATATGGGAATATGAGAGTGATTGTGTTTGTTAGAAAAGAAAATATGAAGTTTGATTAAGGTTGTAGTTGGAGGGGTAAGTTTCAGGGATTTACAGCATGAGTTTGGAATAAGACGTTAATGATGTGGATCTAGGCACTAAAGGTGCCCGAAATTCTTCTTCCACCTTTATGAATATAATTGATGGCCACCGTGGTATCTCTCTCATTGCACAAAGATTCTCAACCATGACTTAGTGCATCTGCCCCGCCCACAAACCAAAAGTACGTGTCAATTACGCCCTTATATGCACGTAAGTGGCTTCTCCTTTATCTCTGCTAATTTTTAACTCATTCTTTGTTGCCTTATTTCTCACTCTAAGAGCTTCAGCAAATTGCCAAATTAAACGTCAGCAAATTCTCCATTATATATCAGTTTTACGTTAATTCTCTTTACTACTGTATCATAAATTTTATTGTAAATTTCCATATATGATAGCATCTTTAAAACCATTGATCAAAACATGTTTATTTCATCTAGTTACTATGCAAACATATCTTTTCACAGGTAAATTAATTAGTCAAGATATATTAAAATCGCTAATTTATTGCATTCTAGTACATTTCTTAAATAATTTTTTTATTACTCTTTTATTGTATTTTTTTTACTTTATTCATGTTTTTATTATGAAAAGGTTAAGAAATAAAATTGTGGTACAAATAACGAATCAGCTATTGACGTAATGATTGTTTTATACTTTGGTTGGGACTATATCGTCCACTTCGTCTTATACAATACTGGAATAAGCATTGTAGGCACAGAACTGGAAGGTTCTAGGACCACCTCCAACTGTGTAATCAACCCCGCTCTCGACCTGCCCAAACCAACAAAATGCATCAAGAAAAATAAGTGTACAACATTGACCCTTAACAATCAGCAAATAGGTTTACAACTGCTTTGTACAAAAGTAATTAGGAGCAAGAGACCTATTTTTCACTTCAATACAAAATGTATTGTCGATTTTATTGTTTATTATCAGAGTGGACATGCCTAATTAAGTTCGGAATAGAGACTCATGTTTGCAGTGTACGTAATTGTGTATGGTTTGATTAGTTTATTTATATAACAAATATACATTTTTAGTTATTAAATTTGATATTATATTTTTAGTTTTTTCCACACAAAAAAAAACTTTAAAATAAGATATTTATCTTTTTAATTTTGACCAGAAAATGACTACATGTTGCTTCTTCAAAGCAATGAAATTGATTAGACAAGTGGAGTGTAAAAAACGTGTTCTCATTATAGATTTTGTGAACAAAGTGAATAGATTCCATCTTATTTAAGAAAATAAAATGGGTTAGGTGAATAAGGGAGTGTTCAAGTTATACTCTCATTATAACTTTAAATTATTTTTGCATCTCTTCTATTTCCAAGGTAGTTATTTAAAAATAAAAATGTTTCATTAAAAAATTAATAATAGATTGTACAATTTGATAGATAGAAATAAAATGTTTCATTAAAAAAATAATTAACACAAAAGATTACTTATACTAAAAGTGGCGTCATTTAAAAACTCAGCGTGCAATCTCACATATTAGAATGTAAGTTTAGTCCTTTTAAATCCATTCATTCCATACACCATGTTTCCACCCGATCGTGACCAAAGGTAGAACTAGATTGCAACACCGTTCTAGTTTAACTGACAAACTAAAATATTTTCCTAAAATACGAAAAGTCATGCAGATAATTTTGGCTTCACTAACTGAACAGAACCATATGATAAACAAATTAGACAGTTCCAACGAGGGTCGAAACATTCGAGCTCGATACATGGGCTGAAAAAAATAAAATAACAAAAATTCAGAAGCAACAAATACAAGCTGCTTCAGCCAAAAAAAGACGTTTGCCAGTCAGCCAAAAAGTAAAATAATACTATTATACTAACAAAAAAAGAAAAAATTTAATATACACTCTATTTTGCATTTCCCCCTTCGGAATCATAAAGAAAAGCATCCGAACCTATCAGTGAACGTGAATGCTATTAAAGTAACCTAACTAAGACTCTAAATATCAGTTAAACTACGATATGCCTCAATGATCGGACAGGAGCTTTAATAAGTCTTCTTTCGCAACATTGGCTTCTTCACGTCTTTTCTTGAAGCCGCATTGAGTCCTGGAGTGGGTATGTCTACCGTGGCTTGATACAAATCCTTCAATCTTCATATAGTGATAGGGGAAGGAGATCAAAAAAGGATACATGACCATAGAAATTCAAAACTAGTTGTAGTTAAGGCGAAAAGGGACAATATCAATCTTACCTTGGCATGCTAATAAACAGTGAAATAACTAGGAATCCAACTATAAGAGGGAACACTGGTGCGGGAGTCAATTCCTGCATTATATAAGAAATCAAAATTAAAAATATGTGCCGCACCATAGCAACATAAAAAAAAACAGAAAATAGTTAACGACAAGCTTTGAAAAGCAAAGGCAGGCAAAAGAAAGAGAGGAGACTAGAAAAAACCTGTTTCAGTTGATCTTCGATCCTGTATACCAGCGGGCCCACATGGATTTGAACATTTTTTTCCAAGTCGACCTCAATGGTATCAGATTCAAACTTAAGCGAGCTTTGTGGGAGACCAGATTGAAGCTGTAGAAGGTGTCTTCCCTTTGATAAGCCCTTCACTTGGAAGAAGTTTGAAATTGGAAGGGGGAAGACTGATTCTATCTTGTTAAGGTCACTGGCTGACCTAATTTCTACCATCAGATGTTTACGTAGTTCATCTGTACCGTTTCCTTCAACGTGGCAACTTATAATTGTCATTTCCGGCTCCTCGAAAACTATAAAATCCAAACCCTTGATATCTTCGGTTCCAACCTGGGAACATCAACCAACAACCTTACTACAGGATCACAACAATGACAGCACAACTAAAACCGATAGCTACCGGAAACTAACCTTTACAGCAATTGAATCTGGAGATGCACGTTCTATATTAGAACTGCCTACAGCATCCCTTTTAGCCACTTTGACAACATAGACAGTATCAGGCTGTAGTCCTCTCAGACGATAATTTCCATTGGAATCTGTCACTGTTTCCTCAAAATAGCCTTTTGACTCTGACCGGGCTTCAACTGAAACTTCTCCTTTGGGTTGTCCGGACAACAAAGTGACAACACCAGTAGCACTGTAAGAGTTTATTTACTTCAGCATATTCCAGAGTAATGTATGCCCAAGCAGAAAAGTGAAAGCACAGAAAAAGATAGAGAAGGCTATGGCATTTGCAATTGAATATAGTTACTTGGAAATAAAATATATAAAAAAAGAAGTAACAAGTCGATTCACAACTTGCCCTGCACTATGGTTGTATGTGATTACACTGATATTAGTTTTATATTGTCTGTCCTACTCACCAGCATAATTTAACTGTTTAAGTCCTTTCATATAAGGAAAACTGCATGTTTTACATCACCTTGCATTGATTTGCATCTGAAGTCTAATGTAATGTCGCGTAGAGCCTTACAATTAAATCATACACACATGATAGATAAGATTCAATCTACATAACACTTAAGTCATGCTTACTTGGAATAGATCTTTTAAATAAACTACCAATCAAATGGAATTCACGAAACAATTCAGCATTCAAGAAAAAAAAACATTTACTGTGCTTGCTACTTGAAGTATGTGCAAAATTTGGATTACTTAAAATAGGTTCAGTGGGACTGGCCTGATATGCAAAGTCAAAGAACGTATTTTGTGTAACTCGTTACCCAAATTCCACAATCAACAGACCTGCATCTGATTAGTGGGCATCCCAGGGCTTCAGAATAAAGTTCCTCACCTAAACTAGTAGTGGCCCCTCCCACAGTTCTTAAATAATGTCCTTGTTTTAAACAGTTTACAGTCCACATACATACATACATACATACATACATACATATATATATATATACACACATATATATATACACACATATGTATGTATATATGTATATATATATATATATAATATATATATATGTATATGTATATATATATGTATATGTATATATATATGTATATGTCTCAAAATTATTCTAGTGTTTCAGTATAACTAGGCCTGTAATTATTGCAAAAATATCATATCAATAGAGAAATGGCAAATGAGATCAGATACATAAATCAGGAAAAGATATAAAAGCAAAAAGTCATTCAAAGTTTAAGATAGTGTTGGACAATTGGTTTCAAATTTTCATTGATTTAAAAGAAAATGTTGGAACCACTATTCAAACAAAGCTCAAAATACTTATTGTTGCAATAAATGAAGGAAAGGGTAACTAAGGTGAAATGAAAAAGTGAAACCTGTAGGCTACACGCGTGGCCTGGAAAATAACTTCTCTGGACTCCCCTGCCCCAAGCTCTATTGCCTGTGCTGGAGGTGAGAAAGCATACTCCTAGAAAATAAGACGGTAATATAAACTGAATAAGGAAGTGGGCAAAGATGTAGCTTTCAGAAATGACCAGTATGGTGATATAGGAAGCAATGCATGTGGGATACAGATTCAGAACTGTATAAAAAATCATAAAGCATAACAAAAACATAATTACCATCCTTCAAATCCAAATTAAGAATATTGGAAGTAATGGGCTTAGACCCATCTCTTTGATTTTTTCTATTTATAAATGCATGACCCTATGTGCTTTATACACATTAGGGACTCAGCCTATGTCTCTCTCTTTTATTTTAACAAAGACCATGCTTGTTCGATCTTACAAAAATATGATAAAGTGTTACCTATTACAAAAATCTCATTCCCTTCTTGAGCATTATCCTTAAAGAGGATAAGCTCTGTTTTCTAGTTCAATGAGACAAGGTTCCTGGGTTTCCATCTTGTATGCATCTGTCTCACTAACTGAATTAGACTTCCACAGCTTCTTTTAAAGGGTTTGATATTTCACAAATACATATTAATGAAGTATCCAAGAGAACTGGTATATGAATACAAAAACAAAACGCAATAATTTAGTCAGGGATATTTTGGATTCATAATAAAATCAAGTATATCGTTAACTACAAGTGCAGCAACACGTGAACTATAGTTGATTGATTAAAAGTTGCATGTGAAGGACATGACAAGTAGTAGAATACAACAACATAACAATTATGTCCAGTACTCCAGCTACAGTATTATTACCTTTAAAACAGGACGTAAATAGAACATTCCAGGAAACAAATTATCAAACTGGAATGTCCCTCCAGTCCCTGATACCGAGTTGTTTCTATAACCATTGTCACCACTCAAAGATAACAGAACAGAAGGAATGGGCTCTTCAGCATCATCTTTGTGATGTATGTGTACTAAAATTTGACTAAGCTTCTGACAAGTAAAGGAATGAGGCGCAACTTGTTTTAAATAATATCCAGGCTGCAAGTATAAACAGAAACAATAATCAAACAATGTAAGAAACCAAGAAGGCAATAGAAACACCACAGATAAGAGAAACTGAATCTATTCTAGTATATTTTTTAAATAAAGCACTAATTTTACTTAGTTTGTTCAGAGAAAAGAGACCACCTTTGAAGCCTCGACATTGTAACCGATATCATTGTGCAGAGGTCCTGCAACAAAGGAACCATCAGTACCAGTGGTTGTTTCAAGAACTAGTTCGCCATTTTTAAGTGCAGTAATGCTGCTGTCTCCAGAAGCAAAAACTCTGATATGGACGCCAGAAAGAGGAGGTGAAACTGATCCTTCAATGTATGCGCCCACTTCACAAGAAAATGTAGGAATATAAGCTTGACAATTATCATCTGTCACTGATACCTACGAACAAGAATTTTGCAAATAAAACTCAGTTAGTCACATAAAAACATCAGTAGAAAAAGTAATTTGATGCTTACTTGATGTTCTCTAGGATAAAATAAAAGTTTCTTCTGCCCATCACTCCTGTAACCAAAAAAGAACAAGTCAATGGTATCAATTGGGTAGATAGTAGTGCTTGAATAAGTTTGATTTCAAAACCTACAGAGAGGAGGAAAGGGATAGGAAGGAGAAATGAAATGAGTAATTAAAGTATTAAAAAAAAACAAGAAAACTAGACGCAACTTCCCAGAATCACAGAATTGTGTGCTACACAATACACTAATAAACACCATGAAATCATAAAAAAAAGGTAAGTTAATTTAAGTGTTTAACCTTAGAGAAAAACTGGACACATACAAAACAATTTTAAGATTTATCATTTCTTTTTCAAGATATTGGATGTGACTACATTAAAAATGGTAAAAAATAAAGCTTTTGAAATAGTTTGAAAGGAATTAGCAGTTAGCATAAAATGGTATAAATCCATTTTACTGTATTATTTTACAAGCAGTACACAGTAAATCCTTTCAGGATAAATAGGTAAAGATGTAATGAGACAGTTGCTAATATGTATTCACGATTTTCATTCTTGATCCAATCTGCTTTCTACACAAGCCATTAAAACTATAATAGACATTTCATTGAAATTGTTTGAACAACCAGTTAGATTAATATATATGTACCTAGAGTCCCAAGGAACAAAGGTAAGCTTTTCTCCTAGATTGGCCCAAACAGAATACTCAAATATAGCAGTTTCTGTTTGATCTTTCCCATGGGACTTGACTGTGGCTGTGGTATAATCAATAACACCAGCTCCCTCATGTTTAATATCAACAACTATTTTCTCAGGCAATGCATCAAGTGAGCCAGACTGCACATTTATCTGTCCTTTGAGAAGATACTTTTCTCCAGTAAGGTGAATAGGCTACAAAAAAAGAAAATTTTGGAAGAAAATCCTCAAAAGAAACAAATATAATAATACATA